TTTAAATTACTCCAATTTTTGGCATGACTCAACTGGAACGTAAGTATTGGAGGCTTTAGTTCTAAACTAATACTAGAAATTTTAGTTTAAAGAACTAGAACTAAGATCACACTACTTCTAGTCAAAAAACTAGAACTAGAACTAAAATCACTGTATTTTTAGTCAAAAAACTAGAACTAGAACTAAAATTGTTGTATTTATTGTCAGAGAACTAGAACTAGAACTAAAATTATTGTATTTCTAGTCAAAAAACTAGAACTAGAACTAAAATCACTGTATTTTTAGTCAAAAAACTAGAACTAGAACTAAAATTATTATATTTCTTGTCAAAGAACTAGGACTAAAACTAAAATTAATATATTTTTAGTTAAAAACTAGAACTAGAACTAAAATAATAGTATTTTTAGTCAAAAAACTAGAACTAAAATACAATTCCATACTAGAACAACACTAATGTATCAGAAAAAAATTATAAAAATGGAGAATTCTCTCCTAGACATTTTTGACAGAATACCATGTTTCTACGAAGCTCTACTAAGCAAGCTACACAGCACACCTCATGAGTTGGACTGTACTGGGAAACCCTGACTGTTGCACTTACATCCAGTACATGTTCATATAATCATGTAATGTTACTGAGCTAGATCGAGAACATTTTCCCTAAGCCTGTTTTGAGTCAATACTCAATTGCTTTATGCATGCTATCTATACATGTACATATACGTGTATATGTATATGTGTGTGTGTGCATTCTTTTCATACTCTGCAAGACTCTTAAGATTGTGCTCTTCTAAAACTTTCCTGAGGTGTCCCCTCCTTCCTCCTTTCTTGCACCAGTTGTGTAGCTCTCTTTTAAACCGCTTCTTCTCATCAGATGCATGGTTGTAGCAGTTTATACATTCACAGCAATTGCAGGAAGGAGGTACGTGTGCTTCATCCATATCTTCATCAATTTCATTGTAAAGACTATCTAGGAAATTGCCAATGCCCTCTTTTATTATTCTGTCTGAACTCTCGACCAGTCTTGATATTTCGTTTGCGTTTGGTGGTTTTTCCTAATGAATTGAGGAATAGCATAGAGAGAGTTTACAGTGTATTTAATGCTTTAATTGTAATCAGGAGCTAGTGAAAAGACTGTAAGTGTAATGTATGTGAAAGTGTATAGTGTACATTATATGTACAGTACATGTACATATATGCATGGATATTAAAATAATTATATTTGTATGTTACCTTATCATCAGTTAGTCCGAGTTTTGGCTTAAGCTTGCTCTCTATTACGTATCGTGGTGATCCACCTTTCCCTATGGTTTTAATGATGGCTCTGAATCTTGCTTGTTTAAATAACTGCGCCACGTCCTCCTCTTCTTCCCTTTGCTCCAGAAACAACTGAAGGAGTTCGTCGTCTTTGCTATAATGCTGCCCCATCATGTCCTTAATGAGCATCTCTTTTAGCGTAGCCCCCTTACCGGAGCTGGCCCGAAACAGCATCATTAGCAAGAAGTCCATGTCATTTTTAATGGCGTCATATCTCGGTCCAATAAATTTAGCATACGTGTATGTATAGTCGTTTGGTATGAGACAAGACTGGGAACATATCTCGGCTATCTTTGACTGCCCGAGCTCCTTTGGATGACACTGTATGACCCATATGAATGCATATGCCAGTACTAGCATGATTAGTCCTAGTAGGATAAAGTCCCCGTATTGGAGGAGTGCCATGAAATGGATTGATGGGAAAACGCAAGTGACTGTCGTGTTTAAGTGCCAGCCGTAGGAGTTCGGATCAAGGTTTTTAGGGCATGGAAATACTTCAGGAAAGTTGTGAAAGTATACGGCTGAGAATAGAATGGACCCCGTAGATACTAGAAGCTGTATTGCTAGTTTTAATATGTAGCTACTGAAAAGTAACGGGACCTTCCAGTTCCAGATATCTATGTAGCTTTGAGTCTGAAACTCACTCACAAGCCTCGAGACGATATCAGAATTACGCGGATCATAATCGCCAGTCAGCCTGTCTCTCAGTCTATCCAGCCCATTACAAAGATCAAAGAAATAATTGATATAAGAGTCGGACACCGTCTTCCATAGTATGTGAGGTCCTATTA